CAACCAGAACCTCTGACAGTGAGTGAAGCTCTTGCTTGTGATGAGTGGAAAAAAATGTCGGCTGATGAGTTTGATGCTCTTATTAGAAATGAAACTTGGAGTCTTATTCCTCGAACCGCTGATATGAACATAGTTGCAATAAATGGTGTTTCGAACCAAATTTCATGTGATGGATCCCCCTAGAAATACAAGGCTAGATTAGTTGCTAAGATTTCAACAAACTCCTGGTTTAGATTATTTTAAACTTTCAGCCCTTTTGTAAACTAACACTATTAGGTTATCTTTATGGTTGTCACTTAGTTGGACATTCAACAAGTGGATGTGAAATGCATTCCTTAATGGTCTTTTGAATCATTGTCTATATGAGACAGCTCAGGGGGTTTGAGGTTCCTTATTTATCCTCACATGTTTGTAAGCTTAGCAAGGCTCTTTATGGCCTTAAGCAAGCCCCAAGGGCTTGGTGACAAACTGAAACGCCTTGGTGCACAAAGGTTTTTAGAATTCAATTCTTATTCAAGTTTGTTCATTCTCAAAACAACTCTCAAGTTCTTTATGTTCTTATATATGTGGATGATATCTTAATAACTGGTTCTAGCTCTTCGTATTCTTCGCTTGTTAAAGATTTAACAGCCATTTGCCTTGAAAACTCTAGGGCTATCACATATTTTTAGGCCTAGAAGCAACAAGGTCAGCACGGTTTGCACTAAAACAAACCAAATACATTCATGATTTACTTGTTAAAACTAAGATGCAAGAGGCCATGCTTGTCCCACTCCTATGCAGTAAGGACCAAACTTTTTGCAACTGATAGTGAGCTGTTTAAAGACCCTAGCCTTTATAAAGCATTATTGGAGCCCTTCAACATGTAACCCTCACAGAACCTGATATCAATTTTATAGTGAACAAGCTCACCAATATCTTCAAGCTTTACTGAGTTACAATAGCAGGCTTGTAAGAGAGTTTTAAGGTACCTTAAGGTACTCAATTCCATGGCTTGTTATTCAGAGCAACAACCTCTCTCAATGTTGAATGCTATGCAGATGCGGATTGGGAAAATTTAGATGACCGAGGGTCTACGTGGATATTGTGTGTACCTAAGTCTTAATCATTCAATAGAGTTCTTGCAAGCAAAAAGTTGTTGCTTTGTCATCTACAGAGGTTGAGTGCAGAGCACTAGCCCAACAATCAACTGAATTGGCCTGGTTACACAATTTGTCACTGAATAGGTGTGTCAATCAACTATTGTCTTGTCATCTGGTGTGACAACATTAGTGCTGAGCATTAGCATCAAACCAGTATTTCACGCAAGAACAAAACATATTAAGATCGCACTCACTATATCTGAGACCAGTTCTTGCAAAAAAGGTCATTGTGCAATATGTCCTACAAAGCTTCAAATTGCTTATGTTCTAACAAATGCCCTTTCAATTAGTCAGTTCCAAGAATTGAAACACAAACTTTGTGTTGTTGAGGTACCACATTCAAATGCTAAAGTTGACGACAACCAAGACTCATCTTAATCTCTGAAGCAACAATAGAAAATGCTAATTGTGTGCAAAAAAATATACAAAAGTTCTACATTACAAGAACATGTTTGATATGTAAGGTGTTGTGTTGAAAATATGTCATGGTATAGATTTGGCTTTGAAATATGTCAATATGGTTACAGATTTGGCTTTGAAATTGTCAATATGGTATATAGATTTGGCTACTAATGAATATGAAAGGGTGATCATAGGGTGTTAGCTTTTTTCTATGATGATGTAGAGGCAATGTGTGCTGTTGATTGAAATAGCCTCCAGATGTTATGGTATGAATGCTACGTATATGCTATTGGTGTCATATGTTGAGGCACATGTGTTGCATAATGTAGAGGTAAGTAATTTGTTGCATAATGTAGAGGTAATGTGTTGCTATTGGTTGAAATAGCCTCCAATACAGTATGAATGCTAAGTATAAGCTATTGTTGAATAGCTTCCAGTATGTATGAATATTGGTGGGAATTAGTTGCATTTTTTGTGGTATCAGCTTATGTATCAAGAAGCCAATCTGTATATAAAGGAAATGTCTGAAACAACAAACCAAGTCTTGAAGAAAACCACATCGTTCCAGTTTGAGGGGGAAAATTAGCCAGATGTAAGGAGGGCATTTTTGTAAAACTATAGGTGAAGAATAAGTAAACGGCTCTTTGTACAATAGTCTTTACTTTTGTTACTAAGCTGAGTTGACTCTCTTCTCTGTAAAAGTCGTCATAGTTTCAGCTTTATTAACTGAAATCAAACAATAAAATACAAGTTATGAATATTCCAGAACTCTTTCGATCCCTGTTTCTCAATCTCACAAAGCTGTACGAGCTATGATATGGTATGCATTTTCCTGTTATATATTAGGAACAAAATTTTCTTATACAGGTAATTATAAGAAAATTTACATATTTACAATACAAAATAATTTGAATTAGCAATTTCAATGAATGTTTTATTTAGTATAAATTATTTTTAATCACTAAGGATTAGGAGTTTCTGATGTGAAACATACCAATACTTCGAATGTAATAGATGTTTTGAGTCGCTAGGCCAATAAGCAAACTATAGAAGGCGTACCAATGTAGTTCAAGCTTGATTTGAGCTCAATCCTTAACTTAAGACAAATTAAGCTAGCTACTTGCTTCCAATTGTTAATCATAGGTTGATATGTAGCTAGAAATTTTGTCGGACGAATTAATATGTCAAGTGTACACAGAAGCATAGGTGATTTGGTGTCGAATAGGTTTTCTTTTTGTCGTTTTTTCCCTTCTTTTTTAGAAACTCGCCAATTAACTATTCAACTCTTAACTCTATTCCTTGATATATTTGAGATAATTTGATCATAATATGAAATTATCTCATGATATGCAATTTTACAAACCCTAAACATACGAAAATTGAATTTTTTATATATAATTTCATACACCGCGCGATAATATCAATATATCATGAATATATATGATATATGGTTCTCATTAATCCTTTACTCCAATTATCTTGGATGTAATGCCTAAAATTTATTCTAATAAGTTATTTCCAAATTATTTTTAATTGGTGATTTTTTTTTTTTTCTGACTTCGATCAGTACAAACATCATTTTGAAAGTATTTTTCATTAGTTTAATTAATTAAGAGCAGATTACTAGAAAACCAATAACATCAACTAGCTAAATAGTACTTTTCTATGATAGTATCTTGAATTTGTAATGTTTTTTTTTTTTTTTTTTTCTGTATGAATTTATACTCATTGTCATGACTGAGTTCCATTGTCAATTTATATTAGATCTATATATAATTGTACACGGATGCTAATTAAAAGAGTAGTAGCTCTAAGTCAAAAGGGATTTTTTTCTATTAAAGCATTTTCTATCCAACCAAAAACTTACCAGATCAACTATTCAACTCTTAACTGTATTAGATTTTCTTTTGTCGTAGTTTCCTTTCTCATTCCAAAAACTTGCCCGATCAACTATTCAACTCTTAAATGTATTCTTTGATATATATATATATATTTATTTATTTATTTATTTTAATCACGATATGGATATATTTTTCGTGATATATATACTAACGTTACAAACCCTAGACATACGAAAAATTGAAATTAATGGTATTATATAAAATTAATACATCCGCTATAATATCTATTTATCATGTATATGATATATGGATCTCATTAATCCTTTACACCAATTATATTGGATGTAATGCTTAAATTTCAATGTTAATAAGTTATTGCCAAATTAGTTTAATTTGTTATTTCTTTTTTCCTGACATTTGATTAATTATAAGATCAATTTTGAAAGTATTGTTCATTAGTTTAATCAAGAGCACATTACCAGAAAACAAATAATAGCATACTAGCAAAATACTTTTACTATAATAGTTAGTGGTTAAAGAGTAGTAGCTCAAAGTAAAATGGATTTCTTCTATTAAAGCATATTCTATACGTTGCTAGTTTAGAGCATAAATACCTATAAATCTGGAGTAGATATAGGTGATCATGGTAAAACTATTCAACCAAAATACAAAAAGGCACTTAATTTGAAAGATATATATTTGCCTAAACTCTTGTGTCATTAATTAGACTATATATTATAAACATTGGAAAAATAACACTTATTAAAAACATAATAAAACCTAGTGTTATATAATTAATACTAGCTAGTATTATATATAAATAATTAATGCCTTCAAAAGAACAGTAAAAAGGAATAATTAATATATAATTCATCAATTTACAGATCTGAGCAAGGCAAACACTATATATATATAATTAAGTAGAAAACAACAATTTACACCAACCACAATACATTTTCACTTAGTACTGTATTATTATTATTATTATTATTATTATTATTATTATTATTATTATTATTATTATTATTATTATTATATAACAGCATCTATAATAGTGTTTTTTATTTTAAAGAGCATCTTTCGTATAAATAAAAAGCATCTTCATTAATTTTAAAATATAAAGAACACAATTTTTATTTAAATCTAATAGATTCTTTAAATTTAATGAAGATAGTCTTTATTTTTAAAAAGGAGACTTAATGGGAGAGAGAATTAATAAATAAAATATATAGGAACTTGTAGTTTATTAATTAAAATTAGGATAGAGAGTGAAATATGACTCTCTAAATGTGGAGAGTTAAACTCACTCTCTAATTTATATTTTAAAAATAAAAAATCTGTTAAACTCTTATTTTTATAAATAAACTTTTTATAATAAAGAATTTATGTCATATAAAAAGTTATTTGGAAATGCTCTAACAATATATATATAATTAGAAACAGACACTTTTGACTTTTCTATACTTGTTTTTAGTAACATAACAAACACTTTTGACTTCCTAATTACAAACTTAAGTTCCTTAATCTCCGACAGAAACACAAACAACAACAACAACACAACAAAACCACTCTCATCTTCTTCTTCTTCTTTAAGTCTTCGGCCGATTGATGTCTCTTATGATGGAGGGTTTTCAATCCAACCAACTCCACTTATGTATTCCCAACCACGGTTTCCGGACCCTAACCCTAAGGGTGCCCTTCCCCACCACATCCAGTCCTCCTCATAGCTCAACGTCATCGGCCACTCCTCTAGTCCCACGAACCACCCATTACAGCCAACCCGATCTTCCGGTACCTCCGCCGCCGCCGTTTCAGTCACGGTCTTCTGCTCTTCCGTCTCCTCCTTTTCATCGTCAACATTGATGATAATCTGTTTTGTCTCATTCTCGTCGTCATCTTCAATTTTTATCACTTCTTTTGTCCACTCCTCAACATCAATCACCACGTCATCATCATCTTGATTCCCCGTTTCATTTATAATTATTTCTTGATTCTCCTCCTCCTCCTCCTCCTCCTCCTTAAAGTTCTCCCCCGAACTCGACGCCATTGAAGAACTAGCTCCTGTTGTGATAAACGTCGTCGTCCATGGCTGTGAAGGAACAGGAAGTGGTGGAGCTCTGGGATAATTAGTTCTGAAATTACGCATTCTAGCTCTGGCATCTATTCTCGCCATTCTTGACCTCCATTCTTCATCTCCTTCTCTCCCTCTCTTTCCCAGCTTCCCTTCATAAACGGGACTCACCTTCGCCATCTTCATTATTGCGTCTCTCCGCGACTGAGAAAGAGAAAGAGAAAGATAGAAAAGATGGAGAGTGAAAGAAAGGGAGAGTTTGTATATATAGAAAAGATAGAGAGTTTGTGTTAGGGTTAGAAGTTGGAAACTGGAAAATGCATGTGGCAAAGAAAGTGAAGAAGCCTTTTCCCGGGTTTAAATTTCTCGAGAAAATCCCATGAGAAAATAGAATAAAAAAAATCAATAACCTTAAGTAGAGAAACCCCTTGAAATTAATTGGACGATATATCAGGGAATTTGAGAAAAACTGAGTCTCAGGAGAGAAACAGAAACTAACAATTGTGCGTTTTTATTTCTTCATTGATACGTGGCCATGTAAAGAGGGCACGTGGCTATGTGGACCCACCGACCGACAATGATGTGGCTTGGGAAAGAGTTCAGTTCTCTTCTAATTTATGTTTTAACCATTTGGGTTTTGGTAATAAAAGTCTCTTCGGCTTTCATGAAACATGTTTTTGCATGAACTCACCACGTATACAATGGTGCACGAGTTTGTTACAACCCCTTTGTGTAGTGTTTGGGTATTATTAAGTTCAACTCTGCAATACCATTAATTAATTTCGCCAATAACATATTAATTATATTGAATTAACCTTGATGAGTTTCAACTAAATTGAACTGACACATACCCTAAATTTATTTGAATATTTCGTTCGTTTCTATCATCAATAGATTGTGTGAGGGATGTTTCTCCTTTCTCGATCTTCTTGTTACCATTTGGGTTGCTGGGGTTTATCTGGTGTCATGCTTTTTTATCAAATAATACAACATGTGCGTATTCTAGTTTATACAATATGTGTTATATTGCGATTTAATAACTAAAATTAAAGTGAATAATGTGGTAGTCATACAGTTTATATGGATTGATACATTAGGTTATAGGGAATTGTTTCTATATATAGTATCAAATATCAATTACTCCCCCTAATAAATAGTCTGGGCATATCAAATCAAAAGAAATCTATATATTACCCCAAAAAAAGAAGGAAAACATTAATTAAGATCATGATATCCAACTAAATCTAGAGTTTGCTAAATATAGAATATGTAAGATATAAGATATTCAATATATATATATATATATATTTCTCATTGATTGTGTAGGTTTTTGAGTCTAGTTATGCTAAGAGAAAGAAGGCTAACATGCATGAAAGAGTTGAAAAGAGAAAAACTTCAGCATGTATCTGCTCTATTTTCATTCATTGAACATGGGAATATGAACACAAAATTCTTCACTGTTACAACAACTCTTGCAGTGAGAACTTTTTGCAAATACAAGGCACTCTAAACAACTCTAACTAGCTAATACTAATTTACAATGTCATATAATGGCCTTAATCACCGGCTGTCATCACCTAAAAACATCACATAATAATTTCAAAAAACCAACCAAATACAGCATTTGAAAGACAGCTTTTAACATACTCAAACTTGGCGCCAAAATACAAACTTGAATAGCAAACCAGTTTCCAGCAAAATATTACAAACTTTAACACTCCTCCTTGATATTCTTGTTGGAAACTCCAAGTTTGAATCTTAATTCTTCAAACTTGGATTTGCTCAAAGGTTTAGTCATTATATCAGCCACTTGATGTTCTTCCTTGCAATGAATAAGCTTTACTTCACCATTTTGCTCAGCTTCCCTCACTGCACGGTATTTGATTTTGATATGTTTTGTACGGCCATGAAGGACTGGATTTTTGGCCATTGCAATTGCTGATTGGTTGTCACAATACAGCACATTAGCCTCATTCTGTTCCAGTCTTAAATCCCTCAGAATTTTCCTCAGCCAAACCAATTGGTTGACTACAACAACAACAACAATATATTCTACTTCTGCAGTTGATTGTGCTACAACTTCTGGTTTTTTGGAGATTCAACTTATGGCACCTGAGTTTAAGAAATAAACATAACCTAAGGTATTCTTCATATCATCCAAAGAGCCACCCCAGTCACTGTTGGTGAAACCATATAAACTGAGTTCTTCAGCTTTCCTGAACCAAATTCCCAGGTCTGGACAACCTCGAACATACCTAAGAACTCTTTTTGCTGCTTGCAAATGCAGTTCACTCGGTTCATTCATAAATCTAGAGAGTAAGCTTGTTGCATATATAATGTCAGGTAAGCTTGTTGCATACATAATGTCAGGTCTTGTTGCTGCCAAGTACAACAAGCACCGAACAATGCTTCTATATTTAGTTTCATCCACCATAGCAGCTCCATCATCTTTACAAAGATTCTGATTTTGCACTAGTGGTGTGCTGACTGGCTTGCAATTCTCCATTCTAAATTTTTTAAGAAGTTCATTGGTATATTCATGGCATATTTCTTTTGGGAAATGAATATAACACTAGGAGATTGATACACTTCCATTCCCAAGAAGAAAATCATTTCACCTAGGTTAGTTATCTCAAACTCATTGTGCAACTTAATCTTAAAGTCATTCAGCCGAGTGGAATTGCTTCCTATCACCAGGGGATCATCAACATACAAAGACACAAAAGTCCTCTCTTCACCAATCTCTCTAACATATAGGGTATGCTCATTTGGACTCCTTGCAAACCCCAAACTAACCAGATATTCACTAATCCTGCTGTACCAGGCCTTAGGAGCCTATTTCAGGCCATACAAGGCCTTCCTAAGGAGATACACCTTATCCTCTTGCCCTTCAACTTCATACCCTTCAGGTTGCGCTACAAAAATTTCTTCATCAAGCCACCCATTTAATAAGGTAGACTTCACATCTAGTTGGAAAATTTTCCACTTGAATTGGGCTGCAAGTGCAAGTAGAAGCCTTATTGTGTCATGCCTTGCTACAGGTACGAAAGTGTTAGAAAAATCCACTCCAATCTGCTGTGCATAACCCTTTACTATAAGCCTTGCTTTATATCAATTGACTGAGCCATCTGTATTCAATTTCTTCTTATAAATCCATTTCACCTAAATAACTTTCCTCCCAACTGGTTTGTCCACTAGTTCCCAAGTGGCATTTTTCTCAATCATGCCTAGCTCCTCTTCCATTGCTGCCCTTCACTATTTTACTCTGGCAACTTCAGAGTAGCATGTTGGCTTTATCAAAGCCATGTTACATTTCTCATAAATCTCTACCAAAGTCCTTGTGCCCCTAACTGGAGAGTCTACTTCAGAATCTGAGCTGAAATCTGAAGCTTCTTGGTTGTCTATCAGATCTCCTCTTTGCTCTAGCATTCCACTCTTATCAACTTCATTTCTTTCCCAGTTCCACAGAGAGGCTTCATCTACCTTCACATCTCGGTTTACCAGAAACCTTTTTGTCTTAGGATTATAAATCCTATGTGCTTTAGACAAGTTGATGTACCCAACCAGTATTCCAGTTTCAGCCCTCTCATCTAGTTTACTTCTCTTACCGGCTAGAATGTGTGCATAATAGATATTTCCAAACACCTTGAGGTTGCCAATGCTTGACTTTACTCCATACCAAGCCTCAAATGAAGTTTTGTTGCCAAGAGCTTTAGTTGGCAGCCTATTCAACAAATATAATGTTGTATTTATAGCTTCTGCCAAGAAACCTTTAGGAAGTTTTTTCTCAAACAGCATACACCTAGCCATCTCCATTACAGTCCTGTTTTTTCTTTCACTCACACCATTTTGTTGTGGTGTGTATGGACTGCTCAGTTGGTGCTTTATTCTAGCTCCCACACGTAGTTCTTCAAACTAGTTTGAGGTGTATTATGCACCATTATCATTCCTAATTGTTTTCAAACTTAAACCAGTTTGATTCTCCACCATTTGCTTGAATTTCTTGAACATTGCTACCACTTCACCTTTTTGCTTCAAGAAATATACCCAGCACATCCTAGAAAAGTCATCTATAAATAGGAGGAAATACCTACTGCCATTCAAGAAAAAAACTTGCATGGGTCCACATACATCCGTGTGTATGAGCTGAAGTTTTTCAGCAGCTCTCCAGGCTTGATTTGCTGGGAATGGCTATCTACTGAGTTTGCCCATTTGACAGATTTGGCACACCCCTTCTTTCTGCTCAATTTCAGGCATGTTTTGGACAAGGCTGTTCCTCTTCATCTCCTTAAGGCCAATGTAATGAAAATGGTCAAGCCTTTTGTGCCATATTTTAGTCTCATCAAGTTTGGCAGACAAGGCTTGTGAAATTGATTTTCTCTATTCAATTGGAAAACTTAATTTTTCCTAACATTCTCACTCTTTTCAATTCACTGCCAAGACTATCAACTACAATACATGACTTGTTTTGAAAATGCAAGGAGTAATTCTTTTCTAACATTTGGCCCACACTCAGCAAACTTTGATTAATTTCAGGCACATAAAGAACATTTGAAATGTATTTTGTACCTGATGGAGTTGGAACAGCAACCTCACCTCTTCCCTTGACTTTCACAAATCCTCCATTTCCAATTTTGACTCTAGATTGATAAGAGTTGTCAATACTCACGAAACTTGCCAAATTTGGAGTCATGTGGTTTGTACAGCCACTGTCAATCAACTAGACATCACCACACATTTTCTGATTTGAACATGAGGCCATAAAGAGTTGTTCAGCTTCTGAACTTTGCTATTGAATCTCCACCACCTGAGCCTATTGCTCCTGTTGATTTCCTTTGTTTTTACATACTTTTTCTATGTGCCCGAATTGCTTGCATGACCTGCATTGTATGCCAGGTCTGAACCAGCATCTATTTTCTGAATGGCTCCTTTTTTTACAATGTGAGCATGGAGGAAATGATCTCAGTCCACCACGTTTTCCTCCCCGATAAATACTCTTCTCTTTTCCCTTCTTCTCACCAACATACTTCTTGTCTTCCCTTTGGTATACTCTTCCCTTCTGACTTGCAACCATAGCTGCATCATGTGAATCTTCTTGCCTCGGCAGCCCTCTCTGCTCCTGAGCTTGAAGTGAATGGACAAGTTCAGCCAAGCTGATATGGGATAGATTTTTAGAGTCT